TATGTGTCTTCATCATAGAAATGACCCGGCTGAGCTCCCACTGTCCAATATCCCTGATCCACCACACCCCATCTAGTAACATTACCAGAACCAGCCAATGTGCAAATATATCCATAGTTAGGGCATGTATCGAAGTGAGCGTCAATAGCGCTTTGGTCCCAGATGACATTGGCAGTGTTGTATTCTCTTTTCTAGCCTTTGCAGAAGGAGAATCCAATACCGATTGCACGATGTTGAGAAATTCGGTCGGAGCTTTATTCAGGAAAGACATGATAATTCTCCTGAGAATCTGCGGCGCCTCCATAGACGTAACACTAATCATGTACCGAGCTACCCATGGTGAGACAGCACAGGAACCCTCAAAATCCACTGTGTGCTGAGTATTCGGAGACGTCGCAGACATCATCTTCCCCTTGTCACTTGCCCGTGGCGATAGCGCCGCCAATGCGCAGCTCTCCAGGATGGTTATGGTTTCGAGTAATGCATGGACTCGTCGTTGGTCGATCGCGCTACATGATGCAGGAGCTTGCAGTAGCACAGCAGTTGTGCGTTCTGCTCGTCTACGAAGGCTTCTGAGAGCACGATCACAGGTGGATGCCACGAGTGGGAGAAATAAGCGTTTCGTTGTCGGGGACGGGCCGTCTTGCGGTGATAAAGGGCTTGACATTGTCGGATGGGACTCTGGTCCCGAATCCACCGTACTGCCAGCAGCAGTCGCGTTGACAATATCATTGAGTATAGCGCTAGATGCGGTATGTGCTGCGCGTGTGAACGTAATCCATTGCGAATGTTGCGGTAATAACTCGGTTGGGAGCCGTTGCCCACGCAGTTTGGCCGTGGCTGCTAAATGAACGCGAATGGAGTGACTAGCCGAGGCGTACAAGACCATCAACGCTGCATTGGCGAGGACGTTATCGTAACCCCGGGCTTTTTGCATAGTAGCTTGGATGTGGCGGAGGGATGCCGCATGATGGCGCTCGGCTAACGCAAGGAGGTCTTGCATCTCTGTTAGGGTTTGGTTATCTAGGGGCTTTTGAGAGTGTTCATGTGCCATGTCGTGGCATTTGCATGCTGCCGCCAGGCTTAGCAGTGATGACATAACTGCCTTGCATTTGAAGGCGAGATTAGGTACCCCGACCGATAGAGCGTGGAGATCGAGAGAGTCGAATGGGATGGTTTGGCTGGTGTGCGAGAGATAGTGGGCTAAGAGACTGAGCTCGGTCGCGTTGAGAGGATCCGGGGAGGGCAAGTCCAAGTTGAGTATGTCCTCATCGTTAGTCGACTGTGGTGAAAGAGGAAGTTGGCCAGTTGTTGAAGTTATGGGGCCCGGAGGACGCCTTGTTACCAACTCGGATCCTGCGAATTCAATTTCCGAGTTCAGGAAACCGCCCGACTCTGTGTCCGATCCGCTGGCACTCGGATGGTGTTGATATTGACATGTATACGACAGTCTGGTGCATCGCGAGCATTTCGGTCTGGCTTCGTCGCACTGGTGATACGATCAGAACCAATGGCCTGAATTATGTAGGATGGAATCACAACATATGCATCGTGTAATACCTTCTTGCGTAACTGCTTGCATCTGAGACAGCCGTTGCGGGACTTTTCATGTGACTTACGCAACCTATATCCGGTCGCTTGGAGATCTGAGAGCGTTTTATTAATGGCCATATTGCCGACGGCACGCTAAGCTACACAATGTTGGACCGTAGAAGTTGGGGTTCTTCGCAGAAGGGCGGTTGGGGCGTATTAGTAAAGAGTCCTCTAAGCAAAATTGAGTTTACTCAGCCTCATAAATGGAGAAGTTGCCCGTGCAGAACATCAGTCTAGTAGTATTTGTCATGGCGGGTAGTCTAGCGTGAGGCTCTGCTCGATGTAATTAACCGTGAAATTAGAGTTATTCAGTAGTCGAGCAGCCGTGAAGACAATGAGTCGGGCCCTGGAATGACTTCGCCAAGAAGGTTGGGCAGTGAGAGTACGAGGTGCATGGCCTCCAGCGGGAACTACGCCTCCCCGCATAAGACCCTGCATGAACACGAGGTGAGGGTTATATCGATGGATGAAATATGCGGCGTATTACTAATACGCCGGGGTGGCCGTGCCCAGCCAACAGAGAGCTTGGCGACAACTTTGTATGGTTCGGAGACAAGTGGCTGTGATGTGTAGATTGGGAATCGATACTCTGTGGAATCAAAAGGTGTAATGTTAGGACTAGACTCTCTATGTGGTAGCAGAATATGACAAAACGTAGAGAAAGGCTCCAGGCCTTCCATGAATATATAAAGCTCGGCGACAGCCTGCTTGATTGTACGAGTTTCCTACTTCCCCATCCAACATTTTCACCATCTATCAACTCTACTACTCTTTTCCCAAGACATTGAACACGAAGCTCAAAACAAACACGACATCATAATGATTTTCTCTTTCTCTCTATACTTCGATCTTACGATCATACTTGCTCTGGTCCTCCAGGCGAGAGCAGTGCCGCACCCGGTAGCTAAGCGCTCAAATTCCGACCTCAGCTTGACGGCTCAACTTCGCCTTGCCGATACGTAAGACCGCTGCCCTAATCCAAATTCCGAACTCTCAATCATCTGACTTTAATGATCATACAAGGGCTATCGAGCGCTACAAACTGCTCCCTAATGACTCCGACTTTGTCTTCAACTTCACCGGCACAGAACAGATCCCAGTAGCCACAAGCCAGAACTGGCCAGCACTCGTCGATGTCGGCGCCGCTATTAGCATGTCGCAACTTCCGGGTAAGACATCAGTACATTTGAATGCAATCAAACAAACAGTCCAAAACTAATTTTCAAATAGCATGCAGCATGAGCTTCCTCCACCTCCACCCCCGCGCCACTGAACTATTTGCTCTGAATTCCGGCCATATTCTCTCCGAAATGGTCCCTCAAGCTGGAGTCCTTGATAGCAACAACAGCCAGCGGGTTATCCGGACGGACCTGCGCCCCGGTCAAGTGACCATCTACCCGGCAGGTTCATTCCACACACAAGTGAACCCGGACTGCGAGCCAGCGAACTTCACCGCTGCGTTTACATCTGATGAATTCGCTGTGAGCTTGGTGGCGGAGCAACTGTTCTCATTCAGTGATGGGGTCATTGCACGGACCTTTGGGCAGAGTATTACCGGGGATGATATCAAGAAAATTCGGGACGCCATCCCATCAGATATGGCGATCAAGGTGGAGGAGTGTTTGGCGAAGTGTGGGATGGAGAAGCGGTAATTGTGGGGTGAGAATGTGAATGCAAGGAAAAGAGGAATAAGGAGGATAAGAATGTCCGGTGCGGGTTTAGACAGAGTAGGTGTTGATTTTGGTACTTTATAGAATGCAATGACAGTCCGATTTGATCTGATCTCTGTGATTGGTAAGCTGCATATGTTTGTTCAGAACAATGGGATAAAAGTGCACTTTCTGTGTGATAAATGTCTTTTTTTGAGTATATCAGCCCTTGTTTTAGAAAAAGTGTAGGAGACATTATCAATTTCGTCTGCCATTCTCAACAATAATTAAAATTACATATAGTACTGAACCACAGCAGATCGATTCTAGTAGAGGCATGAGGTCCGAGTGACATTACCATATCAGTATGTTACCTTTGTTGTACCTTTATTGCGTTCCGTCTTATCTACGTTGTGACTGTTCGTACCGAGAAGAAACCGATACAATTCTTGTTTCGAACCTCGTCTGTCCCATCTACAGTCTGCACAGAACCAGAATTTGGGTGTATGGGTCCCCAGGTCGCCAGGTCGTACGTATTTTTGGTTCTTACCAGTATGGGACCTGGTTATTACTAATACTGACTATCAGAAAAATTAAGTTATAAAAATACACTGTCTCACCAGGTAGTAAATCTGGCAAGATCTTGTATTTTTAGTAATTTTAATTAATTCTTATTAGAAGATCTAGTAATTTCTAATTAAAATCTAATTAAAATTAAAAGAACCTAACCTGGGGAGTTTTGGTTATAAATTACTGTATAAGTATCGGAATATATTAATTCTATAAATATATTAATTATATCTAATTATTTCTAGTAAATATTAGTAAATCTATATATTATCAATATAATTTAATTAAATATATCTCTATAAATTTACTAACTTTATTTTGAATATATTAGATTATAATATAAAATTTCTAATTATATCTAATTGTTTCTAGTAAATATTAGTAGATCTATATATTATTAATATAATTTAAATAAATGAATATATATATATAATTTAATTAACTTTATTCTAAATATATTAAATTATAATATAAAATTCCTGATTACATCTAATCATTTCTAGTAGATATTTATAACTAGTAAATTTATATTTTATTAATATTATATATATATATTAACTTTATTTTAAATATATTAGATTTAAAATTTAAATTTCTAATTAGATCTAATTATTTCTGGTAAATATTAGTAAATTTATATTTTATTAATATAATATATATGAATTTATTAACTTTATTTTAAATATATTAAATTATAATATAAATTTCTAATTAGATCTAATTATTTCTGATAAATATTAGTAAATTTATATTTTATCAATATTATTCAAATTAGTATTTACTAGAAATAATTAGATATAATTGATATTTTTATGGAATTAATATATTCTGATACTTATACAGTAATTTATAACCAAAACTCCCCAGGTCATAATTTCAATTAATTTTCTAATTCTAATTAGAATTTCTAATAAAAATTAGTAAAAATACTGTAAATACAAGACCTCGCTAGGTTTACCACCTGGTAAGACAGTGTATTTTTACAGCTTAATTTTTCCGATAGTCAGTATTAGTAATAACCAGGTCCCATACTGGTAAGAATCAAAAATACGTACGACCTGGCGACCTGGGGACCTGACGACCCCCAGAATTTGCCGGCCTTCTATTTTGTTGAAAGGACAGGCGTCGTTTCCGTTGTTAGTAACGCCACTGACTGCATTGACCTTCCGGGCTCTACGGGACGGAACAATGCTACGCTGGATTCTCAATGACACGTACACGTCTAGTGAGACCTCCGCTCTGGGTGCCAGGACAGGAGTCGTCCCCGGTTATGTCAACTACGCTCAGGACTCCGACGCGTGCCTGGTGTTCGTCAATGCCCTAGCGGGCGAAGGCGCCGATCGCACAGAACTGTACAATGCGGACCAGGATACGATGGTCAAGACGGTGGCAGATAATTGCAACAACACAATCGTGGTGATAAATACCATGGGTCCGCGGCTGGTCGATCAATGGATTGAACATGAGAACGTCACTGCCGTGCTGTATTCGCCTCTTCTAGGCCAGAATTCGGGGAAATCCACCTTGGATGTGTTGTATGGTGAGGTGAATCCGAGCGCGAGATTGACTTATACGATTGCCAAGAACGAGTGGGATTATAACGTTAGGGTTTATGATACCAAGGAGTGCGACTTCACAGAAGGTTAGTTTCCGCTTTCATTTCCTCCATTCTAATTTCTAGCTGGATCCTATTTGTCGCAGGCGTGTATATCGACTACCGCTACTTCGATGCCTACAACATCACTCCCCGGTACGAATTTGGGTGTGGTCTATCATACACTAGCTTCACCTACACCGACCTGAATGTCCCATCTATCGAAGCCCTTTCCGTCTACCCTTCAGGAAAGAAATCTGTCGGTGGACCAGTGGACTTATGGGACGTTATCGCGAACGTCACCGTCAGCGTCACGAATACTGGTGGCAGGGCTGGAGCTGAGACTCCGCAATTGTACCTATCGTATCCCGAGACTGCGAAGCAGCCTGTGCGCCAGCTCGCGGCTTTGAGCGGGTGGAGCTGGCTCGCAGGGAGAGGTCGACGGTGACGTTCCCGATCCGTAGACGGGATGTGTCGTTTTGGGATGTGGAGGCGCAAGAATGGGCTGTTAAGGGGGAGAATATACGTTCAGTGCTGGGGCAAGTTCGAGGGATCAGAAGTTATCAAGGACGGTCACTATTCGAACAAAGTGACATCTGGTCCTTGCTGTTGTGCGGGTGATAAATACTTCTCTGATAGAAACGCAGTGTATTCAAACATTTAGATGTCAGGTGAATGGTGATTTACCACTGAGTGGGAATATATATCTACTTTATACATCTTTGAATCGGCATAAACTGTCTACATGTGACTGGAGATCGTAGACAACCAGACGAAAGACGCGAAGGTAGAAAGAAAGCTCTATGAATAGTATGTTTCCAAAACGTTCGACTGGCAGAATCCCATCTCGGGATATACTGCGGTCCGTCTACCTCCCGAGCCGTTTCCCGAGAGCCCAAAATGCCATACTAAACTTCCGTTAACCGTGAACTGTGTTACTAATCTAGAAATTCGCTTTAATAAGCACAGACGAAATATTTATAATCACCTGTCCTTTACAATCCCGCAGTCTATTCAGTAATGCGGTATGAGGAATACCTTTTGGTGATATTGTATCTCAACAATGACCTCATTGAAAGTACCAAACAGTTCAACCTTTCACATAATAGTAGTTTAAATAATGTAGAAGAACGTAACAAAAATGTATCAAATAGTTCTAAATATAATCCGAAATACAGTTTTTTTTTTTTTTTTTTTTTTTTTTTTTTTTTGGTAATGTCACAGATCAGATTACAGGGACCCAAAATAGTCGGAATCACAGTGGAATGCCTCCTCGGGGAGTTAAGCAATTATTGCGAGCACTGATTCATTGTACTATACAGTTATCAGATGCATTTCGGAGGATTTCAATGGGGTAACAGACTGCCTGACGGCTCCGCATTGTACCAAGTTACGTCACTAGTAATGTATCGGCTGCACAAGTTCCGTGAAATGGCCGGAAGCTGGACGGACCGCAGCATGGCATCAAATGCCAAGTTTCTTATAATCCCCACGGTCCGGAAAAACCCCCAAATCCTTCATCAGCAACCCACCTGGGTTCTATAAAAGAATTACGTCTGTCTCGGTGTTCAAGAATTGTTTCCCTTTAGGAGGACCAAGATATCTTGTTTCCCATCAAATACGCGCAATGGCTGTCAAGCCGAAAGTACTCCTCCTTGGAGCGACTGGAGAGACTGGGGCCTCTATCCTGAATGGGCTGCAAGAATCTGGAAATTTTGTATGTTGAATGGACTATACAGCAGATTTTTTCTCGTTGGCTGATAAGTGTTATTTTCTCATTTTGGGTAGGATGTGGAGGTCTTAGTGCGGCCGGCTTCTGCAGTTAAACCGTCGGTCCAAAAGCTCCGAGAGCAAGGCCTTACGATTTGGCCCGTAGATCTTGATGACTTTAAGGGGCTTGTGTCTGCCATGACCGGTACCGATATTCTCATCAGTGCTATTGGGCCCAATGACTTGCTCCAGCAGAAGAAGCTGCTTCAAGCCGCGAAGCTTACAGGTGTCAAAAGAGTCATTCCCTGCGCTTTCACCACGGTAGCAGCTCCAACGGGCGCTATGCTTCTTCGTGATGAGGTATGAGTTCCGTGATTCATGAGAGGAAATCCAAGTTGACTAACAGGCAAGTAGAAAGAAGAAGTCTACAATGCCATCAAGTTTTTAGGTATTCCCTATACCGTGATTGATGTTGGGTATTGGTATCAGATCTCGTTTCCGACTCTCCCGTCTGGAAAAGTGGATTACGCCCAGATGGTTCCAGTGAAGACTATTCATGGGGATGGAACAGCCCCTAACATCCTTACCGACCTACGTGATATCGGTCGGTTTGTCGCACGAATTATAATGGATGACCGAACTATCAACAGATATGTCTACACGTCGGGGGATGTGCTTTCAGAGAACGAAATTTACCGTATCGCCGAAGAGGTCTCTGGAGAGAAGCTGGAGCCGTCTCGCGTAAGTCAAGTTTATCTCTACCGTCTTGCTTTTACTAAGAGCGAGTGTATAGGTATCAAATGAAGATATCGAAGCCAGTGTGGACCAAGCTAAAGCCGCTCTCGCTGAGAGTCCTCACGATAACATGAAACGCATCGGCGTTTTTGTGGCCCAGTATGAGCATAGCAAATACGTGCGGGTCGATAACAGTCCTCGTTATGCCGCGTATCTGGGTTATCTCAATGCTAGACAGCTCTATCCAGACTTCCAGCCAACATCCTTTCGTGATTTCTTTGCGGAGGTGCTAGCTGGAAAGGGCAGGAAAGTGTATTCATAGATATACACATAGAATGGGATTTGGTCTGAAATATTCACAACGGATCCGTTGCCCGGGGTGACAATCAGCTACTTTGAATGTGGTTCGGAATGGACATATATCATTCCAATTGTTATATCATCTCATGAATCAACCAAAGACTACTAGAGAAGATCCTAGTTCCATGTCGCCCTGTATTAACAGTCTGCTGTGGTGTGACGAGCTAGATCAAGTCCAGGAACGAGCGCGCGAACTGCGGACTACCAAATTAGACAAACCAATTGAATCTAGTGGATCCGAAAGAAGCCAGTGGTAGTGCAAAGCACCTGTCAAGCCGGGCCGACCGGTCTCACTAGTACTTAACCAAAAGGCAAAACCGCGCCCTGTTCCTTTTCATCTGAACTCGAGCGACTGACTGGGGTCATGACCACGTATCGGAGGCCAATATCAGAGGTATTAACGAGCAGTCAGCAGTAAACATTCCAAATACACAAGCACGGTGAAATATCACCTACTACTCTCTTTCCCCCACGCCTATTGGCTTCGACTTGAACTAATCAAGGGAACGAGGAGCGAGAGAATGTATCAAGAATGCAGGGCAAATCTGCATCTTCTAAATTCAACCTAACCTGCTTCTTTCTTTCTCCCAGTTTAAATACGTATTACCTTCCCATGTATCACCGGTAATTGAGAATTATCGTTCTACCTATCCAGAATGTCTTTAGTCCAATCCCGGTACAGTGTAAATGCGCCCCAAACAGACCTTCTGTCTTACTTGTTTGGCTCGCCTTATAAGAATGAAGGAGCCTGGCCATCCTCAGAGCCTCTTCTGGAAACAGCAGCAAAATGCGATTTTCCAGGATATACAATCGACCAAATCAAGAATATCGTGAAGCGAGTCGGCTGCGGCCTTCATCAGTTGGGAGCGCAAGGAAAGCGAGTCATGGTCTACGGTGAAGCGAACCATAACTTCCTCCTGGCTGTTCTTGGTGTTATCGCTGCTGGAGCAGCATGCAATGCTCTCGCTCCCGGTCCTGTAGAAGAATTGATTTCCCGGCTACGGCAACTGGACTGTGACATTGTCCTTTTCGCACCCCAGGATCGGAAGCTTGTCTGCGTTGCAGCAGCAAGGTTGGATCTTCCTCGCGAGCGTCTTTTTATGGTCGACGAGTCTTTCGGTGGAGTGAATACGGACGGTTCGGATGACGGTGCTTTCAGACACTGGAGCCATCTCTTAAATACGCCTGGCGGTGACCATTATGAGTGGCCTAGACTTTCGCCTGCGGAGGCAAGGACAACGACAGCTATTCTGCTCAACACTTCCGGGTAGGTTGGCTTGCTATATTCTATGGGGCACGGATGTAAAGAGTTAATCCTCTTATAGGACAACAGGATCTTCAAAGCTTGCTGAACGCACTCATTATGGACTTATTGGCAATATTGAGCATACCTTACAGCACTACAACCTTCGGGAGAGAAACAGAGAAACCGTATTCTGCAATTTTAAGTTTTGCGGTTTGGGTTTCCAGATTTTAGGATTCATGCTCCCTCTGAAAGCTCGATATAAGATTATATTTCCTACGAAGTACGAGCCAGAAATGTTCATGCAGACGATTGAACGATTCAAACCTACTTTGTTGATACTCCCTAAGCATCTGGTACGCGAGCTCCTGGAAAAATTCGACAAACCCAGCTTCCCCAGCGTACAACATGTCCTGACCGGCGCTGCGATCATCCCCTATGAGATGATCGACAAGTGGCAGCGACTACATGGATCTCAAGTGCTGCATACATATGGAATGACCGAGTAGGTAGACCTTATGCTATCGTCCTTACTTTACGCAGAGCAGGACTCACTCCGTTCACTGCACCAATGCAGGGCAGGTTTCTATACATTCCCAGATCCAACCCAGGTGGTAGAGGATGCCACAACAGGAATTCTGCTTCCAAATCTGGAGGCGAAGATAGTTGGAGATCAGGGCGAATTGCTAAGCAGAGGCCAGAAAGGACATGTTTACATTCGGACCCCATTTGCCATGAAGGGCTACTTCAATAATCCCGAAGAAACTGCTCAGACCATAACAGACGATGGATGGATTAAGACTGGCGACATTGGCTGGGTTGGTGAGCGCGATCAATTTTATATTGTTGGTCGCCAAAAGGTATGTCCTTCTCAGTTACATCCAAATATATGCGCAGGTTCTAAATGTTCTGCTACATATACTCAGGACCTATTCAAAACCAATGGCTACAATGTTTCTGGAGCTGAGATCGAGATGGTTATCTCACAACATCCGGATATTACCGATGTCGCTGTTATTCCAGTCACGACGTAAGGATTGAATGTCTCCCTTACCTGCTACTTGTCGTGCTGATATTGCTCCTCTCGTATAGGGATGGAGACGAAGAACCCATTCCTCGTGGCTATATTGTCAAGTCGAAAGACTCACCCTTAACCATCGACGAATTGATGCACTGGATGCAGACAGAACTCACTCCACGCATGCAACTTCTTGGTGGTGCAACCTTCATCGACGAAATTCCAATCTCGAATGTAGGTGGGCCGTGTCTTGAGACTCAACCAATTGCTCACACTTAATCTTCAGGTTGGAAATAGCAAAGTCGACCGTCGGAAACTGAGTGAGTTTGCCGAGAGAGAGATGCAGGCACTAAGCCATGCAGAGCAGGAGGCGGACAAGCCAAACCAGGGTGCTTAAATGTCTGTCTGTCCAATTTCCATTGATCGTTGCTCGTCAGATTCCGGATGTGCAAGAGCTTTACGTTTCTGGAATCGATGAAGGCTGTGGCCGTGTGGTTACATTGGATGATCTGCAAGGGACACGGCACAGATCTTATTTAGAAGCGGGCGGCAGCATGGGAGACTTAACCATGCATTTAATGTTCATTGATGAGACCCTCCTCATAATGGTGTCTAACATTAGTCTGAACAAAATTAGTCTCAATGTTAAAGGCCGCATCTAGATGAATGGCAGACCTCGAATAATGTATTGAAAGTCATTGCTATCTCTGATCCAGTTTGATCACATCAGCTTCATATACAGCAGTATCAGAATGATTATGACCAATATGGAAGTGTCTTAAACTCCTCCACGGGTAATGACCGGCTAATTATTAGATTGATATATACATCTATGCATCGCTGCTCAACCCAAATCATGAAATGTGGCATATTGGCATATCTTCAACATGCCATCTCGTATAGGCGTTCCCCATCTATCACAACATGACGCCGTTCAAAGCCCCTTAGGGCTTGGCAAGCTGCTCCTTACGGAAGAACAACAAGAACCCAGCACTACAATCAATCAATCGTTAGTAATCACACCCCACACACCAGGGAGATGCCAAATCAACATACCAAATAACCAACTGACAAAACAATCCGACCCAGAACCACGCATTAGCCACGGCACTCACCCCAAACGTCGGATCAGGGGAGATAGGCCCCGGGCCCAGTTTATTCGGCCCGAAGCCTCTCGCGGCGATCGTAGCAATAGAACCCAACACCTGAGAACAAATCAAAGTGAAGAGCATATGCGTCCGCGTTAGCGTTTGAAGCAAGATTATGCCGAATCCCAGACCCTGGATGCTATCCAAAACACCCAACCAAAGCCAGAGACTGCGCGATGCGAGGGCTCCCCCGACGTATCCGCCGGACACCCATGGTAGGAAGTATCCGATTCCGGAGATTCCCCACCAGATTTGGGCCCAGCGGGGGGCTCCGAGCCCGCAGGCTATTAGGGGCAATGACCAGCTATGCGCTTTGAGGTATCTGCTGACGATGAAGAGGAAGCCGACCCAGACGAAGCCAAAGAAAAGGATGCAGAGGAGGCCGACTTGCCACGCTTCGGCGTGGGTGGAGGACCAGAGGACTGGGGAATTGGTAAGTTGGGTTGTCAACATTTGTATGGGGAGGGAGGGAAGATGGAAATGGAGACCGGGGAAAGTGGCGAATGTTGGGGGTGGGCTGGGGCAGGGAACGTACAACTCCAATTCCGGCCGTAGGGGGCACTAAGGAAAAAATTCTGCAGGATGACGAAAACAAAGTTCCAAAGCACGATCTTTCGACGAAAGACTGCTTTGTAGAACGAGGCGATCTTGCCCGGGGCCTGATGGTAATAATTAGGCAATCCGCGGAAGAGGAGGAATCCGATGAGAGTCACGACTAGAGCAATCGGGTAGCAAATGGCACTAATTGAAGAAGTTAGCAGATGCCATATGAGATAGCTCATGAAGAACAAGAGAGAGGGGACGTACGTCATCTTCCAAGAGCCAGCCACTCCACTTGTTGTCGTTGAAACGCCCTCACTAGAGGCAGTGCTCATGGATGATCCCCAATACCAAAGGGCAATCACATATGCTTGTTGCAAGCCTTGAACAATGCAAGCCCGGAAGATCCAAACCTCCATGGGAGCACCACCTTCGTCGCCGAAGTTCAATGCGAAAAACAGGGAGCCACTAGCAGATGCGACCGCATACGCGCCGCTCCCGATATTCTGGATCCAGCCTCGGTTGAAAGAATTATCGACCCAATGGGCGGAACCTATAAGAACGAATGCGATGCCGTAGAATAACCACGGGAGGGACAGACAAACGACGGACTTGAAATAGCGATAGATCAACCACCAGCAAATAGATGCAATAAGGTAGGTCGTTGCAATTCCGTATAGTTTGACTGCAGTTTCACCGACCTGCCCTGTCAAGAGTGTGATTTGGTAGGAATTGGCAGCGAGGATCTGGCCTAGTGCCAGGAAAATGGAATATACCGGCCAGTTACCAATGCGGATCTGCATCCAAAGCCTGATACCAGCAGGGGGGCTGTAATCCTTGCCGAGAAGGAACTCATCATCAACTTCCGATCCCTGTGTATGGGAGCTCTCAGCGTTGAAACTGGACCCATCTTCCCTTGAAACGACGGAAACAGATCCCTGCTTATCACGGAAGACTGAGGGTGCTGGTGACTTTAAGCGACCCAACTTGGCGTCGTGGAATCGTTCAAACCACTCCTTCTCACTCTTGATCAAGAATTCCTCGATACAATAGTCTGTTTCAGAATTGCTACCCTTAAGGTTCTGCAACTTTTGCTCGAAGATGTTGTAATACTCGCCTGTGCTGTCCGTGAAAAACGGATCCACCTTTTGCAAGCGGAAGTCCTTCTTCTGTCCCACCACCATATCGACAGAAAGCAATGATGCCGTACTCATCCGGTTGCTAACATCCCTGAGACCAGCCGGGGGCAACAGGCTTTGCTCAGGCATTTGTGGCGAGCCCGGTGTTCCAGGTACAGCCAGGGCTTGGCTATCGCGTGAGAAGTGAGAGCTGGTTATGGCCGTAGACCCCGGTCGCTGAGCAGCTTGCATGCGACGTGCTGCTTCCAACTCCGCAGAGGTGGGAACATATTCATTGTCCGGGAAATCATCACCCTCGACATCGGTAGCCACGTCTTCGGGATGTTCCTCAGTCACGGATAACTCATCATGGGAAGAGTGAGAACGTGCAGCACGAGGTCTATGACCCGGGCCAGAACGAACACCAAGGGAGAGTTTGCGTTGTAGACCAGAGACTGGTCTCTCCGTAGGATCAGACAGGGCAGCGAAGTCGCTGAGTCGGTTAAGGTTGGTGTAGCTGCCCTCGCGGGAATGAAGCATGGGTGTCTGCGTGCCCGATGAAGGCCAGAAAGCGCTCGACGGCCTAGATGACACGCTGTTGCCCTGGAAGGCGCCCGTGTTAGGGGTCCGAGGGCGCCCGTGGCCTTTAGCTGTCTTGGTATGGACCTGGATGGATGTCGTTTGGAGGATTTCCAAGTCCTCCACCCATTGCGCGACGGGGAATCGCTGCTTCGCTGAACGAGCCCGCATTTTTGCACGAGTCGACTGCTTGGATTCCAACGCGGCATCAATCGCTTGTCTGAACTGATCCAGAAGATGATATGTAGAGGTTGATTCGACGTTATACCACCATCCAGGCATTTGTCCCAGTCCACCAACGCGGGCTCCCACGCCTAATGCACCCTTTCTACCGAATTCTACCGCCACAAGACCGAACGGTTCATCTCGGGAGGGAATCAAAGCGAACTCTGCCCCCGAGAATATGTACGGCGGAAGGGCAGTGAACTCAGGGCGTGAAAAGACTCGACCAGGATAGAGTTTCATCATCTGATCGAGCTTGAGCGCAGCGAACTTTCCGTATAGATCAATAACAGGGCCGACGCAGATCAATTGGACCTTCGGATTGGCTTCAATAACTGAAGGCATGATATCTGCAATGAGGTCGACACCTTTTTGCATGGACCAACGGCCAACGAAAACGAACAGCTCAGCGTCAGGGTCCTGGTTGAGACCCGCCCATTCCTGCGCCTGCAGTTTAAGCGCACCACGACCTGCTTCATAATCCGGATCGACGGCCACTTCGCCGCGTTGAACTGCCATGGCTTGCTCCTTGCTCCATTCTCCCAAGTCCGAGGGGTCAGGATTGGGAAGGTTGCCGACTTTTTGCAATCCCCAAAAGATGGGGTACCGGGCGTAGGAGCGCTTGCCGTACTTTTTGGACACGCCGACCGCGCCAAAGCCACGCTGGTGGATGCGCAGATAGCTGGCTCCAGCATGCAACAGGTTGAATACCTCACCAAATTGCACATACTGCTTCATAACATCCGCACTGAGGTTGAAAACTGACTGTACCTCTTCACGTTCGGTAGCTGTTCGGACAGGCCAAAGACCCTGGAATTCTGCGTTGTGTAGGGAGAGGCAGACGGGTATAGTTTCCGGGAGCAAGTAAAGGGGCGCCAAAGAGCCATGGTAGTCGTTGATATGGTACAGATCAATAGGGAAGCGCTTGCATACAGCTGCAATACACTGATTCCATGCTGAATAATAGACCGCACTTTCCAGATCGTCCATGCGCGCGGGATACGGGTTTGATTTCGTTTGTTGGCGGAAGACCGGAGCATCGAGGAGGATATAGGTGATGTTGTTTAGGTAATGATATTGCACTTGCACCTCATATTCCGTGCCCATAAGTGTTACCAGAATTGACTCAGCTGGGGTGTCAACAGGGTACTCGACATCTCCCACGCAGGGGACCACCCAAATGAGATCCTGGTGGCTAAGGGTCTTGCCCATCAACTGAGCCATCACTCCAAGACCTCCAATTTTGATCTTTATCGCCCAGTCTTCGATATCGTACTCCATGGTGGCGATCAAGACCATGCGACGCTTCCCAGCGGCTGCAGCAGCGCTAAAAGGGGTGGCAGTTTGGAGCAAGCCTGATTTATTGGCCAGTCGCATTATGGGGTTGAGACGGTTATACTCCCCACCTGGAGCTTTCTTTTCGAACCTTCGGCGCAGGGCAATTGCGAAGCCAGACTTCTGGTCCACACCGACCTGGTTGAACTTAACTTTGTAGAAGGACTTCATGAAGACCCAGAAACACGCCGCAGCTGAAAGAGGAGGCACGATCCAGAATAGCACATACATCGCAATCTGTGTCGCTTGATGTCCTACCGGTACCAGTTGGAACTTCTGAGTGGCATCGTCGATGATCAGCTTCCAGGAGATGTATGGCGAAGGCGGATGCGATGTAATATTGATCACAGTTTCGGAGAGGGATGATGGAGGCATCCGGTCAAGGACGGAGTCGTTATCAGCATCGCCCATTACCCATCCTTCATCCGGCGAACCATCCGGGTTCATCCCCCAGA